AAAAAAAAAAAAAAAAAAAAAAATGAAGACTTTATAAAACGAGAAGCCAAAAACACAAGTACTTGTTGAATTCCAAAACCTAGAACATTCACTGCCAAAAGGAAGCAATGCGGGCAAAGGGGACCCAAAACTTGTAGCTTATTTCTTTTTTAAAAAGTCAACAGAAGAGATCTTAATTATAATTTGAGCTTTGCTGAAATGAACTTAATGACAGAGGACGAGACGCCATACATTTTTTTTGTATTTTTTTTTCCTTTTTAATTTTTAACCAAAAATGTGGAAATCTTGAAAAAAAAGGGCTGTCAAAATTATAACCTTCCAGTTTAAAAACCTTCTAAATTAATTAAAAAAAACATCATCTATACAGAAACCACTGATTTGACCCAAAACCACCAAATCAGTGGTGAACAGAACCTGAATGGTTCTCACAGTTCTGACATATTGAGGGGGGAGGAAGAGAGAAGGGGGGAGAAAGGTGAATAAAGGTCATTTTCAATTCCAGAAAAGTTTGGAGTTTTCACAACCTGCTGTTTTTTTTTGTTTTTTTGTAAAACTAAAAGGTCCACTTTATTTAGGTAAAATTTGTTTACAGTGTAAAAACAGAACTGTTTGGGAAAATACTGGTGTCTATTAAGTGTCGTTGTAGTTAGTCTTGTTCCATAGGTTCGTCTGCTACATCTGTGGCTTCCTCGCTGTTTTCCATGGGGGTTTCTGGGGGGATTTCAGGGGACTTATCAAAAGTTCCCGGCTGCTCAGTGTCACTGCGCTCAGCGTCGGCTTTACTTGGGGCGGGCGCGCTTTCTGCCGCCGCTGCCTCCTCCCCCTCGTCGCTGTGCAAACTCCTCTCTGCCTCACAATGTCCCGATTCCTCCATCTGAAGAGGCTCCTCGGAGGTGGAGTTGCTCACAGTTTCAGATTCGCTGGTTTGCTTGTCAGAGGTCTCCGCTGTGGGCTCGGCCGGTGCCATTAAAGATTCTGAAATAAAATAAAAACGCAGTGATCAACTAAGCCATACACTTTATAAAAAGGAAAAAAGGTTATTTATGCCTCATTTCCATAATACTTAATCCTCTTGAAGAGGTGGGTGTTTACTTAATCGATTTTGAAAATAATCGTTAGCTGCAGCTCTAGTTTACACCCCCCTTCCTGGCCAGGCCATTATTCAGCGCTGTGGTACTTTGACTGACGTTTATTCCGCCATGCAACGCTGTACTGAAAATTATTTTTATACCATTTTTTGGGGACAGATAGAGCTTTCTTTTGGTGGTATTTAATCACCACTGGGGGTTTTATTTTTTACTATATTAAAGGAAGAAATTACTGAATTTTTTTTTTTTTTTAAGTTTTTTTTTTACATGTTCTAATCAGGGTGGATAATTAAACTAAAGAAAATAGTTTTTATTTAAATCTGATTTTTTTCAAATGTATTTTAATAAAATGCTTTTGGAGTAAAAATCTATCCAAAAGATAGTTTTTTTTTATTTAAGATACATTAATAATTTAGTTTATTCAGCATGAAATGGAGCTTAGTTATGTAGCATGAGGCTGTATATTCTGCAATATTTACATTTTTGGTAAACTCATTCAATGAATCCCAAGCGGAGATCACATGCACGGCATTGATACAGTCACACAATTTCACAGTAAGTAACCATGAGATAAATCATAAAACAAAGTTCAGGAATATTCCTTTATCCCATTGTTTTGCAAATCCACTCACATGCTGTCCGCCACGCCCCTTCAACTTGCGTCACTGCCGCATCAGCAGACGTCCCATTAAAGTCAATCGGACAGTAGGTGAGTCAACAGCGGGTCAGAGGAGGAGCCGCTGAGGGTCAGAGATGACAGTTGCTCTTTAAAAATTAGGATTTAAAATCAAGCCTTTTTACTAGTGACACGGACCGGCACCTTATACTCTATAGCCGGCGGATCGCTTGTATGTAAACAGGCATTGTTGCCCGTTTTCTGCTCGCGTGCGAGAGTTGGCTTGGCTGACTGGACTAGAGCTGCAACAATTAATCGACCAAGTCGATTATAATCAATGATGGAAAACGTTGTCAACGGTTTCCATCATCTAATAGTTGAATTTCGATTAGTGTGGCCTGCCGCACAGGCTTCTTCTCCTCCCCGCCGCGACACGTCTCCCTGCATGTGCCATCTTCCCGGCTCACAGACTCGCCGTTGCCCGCCCGCACAATTAAGGAAGAGCAGGCATGGGGGAGGGGGATGCAGCTGCCAGACAGGCCCACAATCTGCTCAGGTAAGCCTGCATTTGTAGTCCTCTATAGCTGATGGTACATTGTGCTCTATATGTACCATCCCCCAGAGGACTACAAATCCCAGCATTATACACAGTATGTATAATGTATTGCTGGCATTTGTTGTATTCCTATATAGTTTGTGGCATTCGGCATACTGTATAATCATAATGGACTATTGCTGCGATTTGCTGTATTCCTCTATAGCTGCTGGTATTCTGCATTCCGCCGCTGTATAATGTACTATATTGCACACCACACTACCCCCACACTTTTTTTTTTTTTTTTTTTACTTCCACCGCTCCAAGCTTGCTCCCGTGATGAACTAAAATCTCAATACAAACTAGTAGTCCATCACTGGAGACTTTTTTTTATTATCCAATGAATCTAACTTAATAAATCGGCTAACTAATCGATTTTGAAAATAATAGTTAGCTGCAGCCTTAGACGGGACTTTTAAATACGCCCGCTCAGATCTAGGAAGCTCCCGGCATGCAACTCTGCATGCGGATATGAAATCATCTCACATTAAACAGATTTTTTAATTTTACTTACAATTTCTTGTTTCCCACTTCCTGGTTCTCTTTGGCAAAAGTGATGCAATTGTGCCCAAGCATTGTATTTTCCTCTCCTGAGATGATATGCATGGTCACATGTGCCAGACTTCCAGGAAGTAAAAGGGAGATCAATTCATCCGCTCTTAGTAAATAAAAAAATGGCCACTGTCAGAGGATTGGGGAGCAACAGAAAAATACGGTATGCAATGAATACAAAGCCGCCAATTATCTAGAAGTATCTGTTTGTAGATTGTCATTACTAAATGTTTCTAAAGGTGCCCTTGTTGTTCTTTTGAAGATCTGGGTAAAGTTCCTCTTCACATTGCAGAACACACAGAAAAATCAAGTATTTTAAAAGCTAACTTGCAGCAAATTTTGCTTTTTTTTTAAATCAATTTGCAATGTGCCTGTAAATTTGCAAGAAAATTGGACAACTCCAGGAAGAGACAATTCACTAGCACAGCTTAACCCTCTCCTCTTCTGGGAGTGTCTAATTACTCTGTGTTGGCCCAGCTCCTTCGCCCCTCCCTGCCACACATAATGTAGCAACCATGGGTTGAACGAAGGTGATACTATAGAGCAGCGTTCTCATCTCAAGGCACCTGAGTCTAAGATGTATAAAATGTAAACAAATTAAATATGGCCCCTCTAAATCCATACCAGACCCTTATCCCAGATAGGAGGTCTGGTATGGATTTTAAAAGGGGGGGGAACACACACAAAAGAGAAAATAAAATGGAATACAGGGAGCAGGGACTGGACAGTCACCGCTCTCTGCAGGGAGGAGCCACAAGATCAGGTGGTGTGTCATCGCTCAGTTCTCTAGCTATAGAGCCAGCTGCAGTGTCACACGCCTACCCAAACTACTGGGAAGAGTACATTTCACTCTCCCAATAGTCCCCCTTTAATTTCTGTATATGTACACACTCCATGACCACTTTGTTAGGCACACCTTGCTAGCATCAGGTTGGACGCCCTTTTGTCTTCAGAACGGCCTTTTCTTCTCCTCTTGCACTTTGTCATTCGTGTGACTGTCTGTTCTTCCCTTAAAGGAGAACTATGGGGTTAGGGCTTTTCCCCATAGTTCTGCTAAAGGGTAACGGGAGGACACAAACTAGCGTCCTCCCGTCACCCTAAGCTCAGTATACCGCGAGCTACAGCTTGCGGTATACCAAGACGCCGCAGCTGAAACGGATCCCGACAAGTATGTCTGCATCCGCCTAGCTGCTATCTAGAGGCAGAGCCAGCTGTACCCGCCCCCTCCGTTCCGCCAGTCAGCGCTGGAGGATCGGAGCGGGGAGGGGGGAATCCAGTCCCTCCCCTGTCACGGCTCTCTGCAGTGACGGGATCTAGAGGTGAGCGAACGCCGGTATGTGTTCGCTCACCTCCCGATCTACTGAGCCGACCTGTGACAGTCTCATTGTCACCGGTCGGCTAGAACTATGATGAGTGAAAAGCACTCGCCTCATAGTTCTCCTTTAACTCTTTGGGGTTTTCAATGTCCATCCTTTGGACATCTCATGCCATGAGTTCCACTATCTTATCCTCATACGACGTCCTGGTACATTGGGTCTTAATATGGGACCTTCTTTAAAGAAATCCTTCATTTCCTTTTTATGGACTTTATCAATAGTGCACCTAGAGTTTTAAACCAATCCATCTCCCATCACTCACCCTCCTGATCTCTCCAACTGATCTTAATATAGTTTTCTGTTCTTTATCCTTAAAAACTCATCAACACCTGCTAATGGTTTACTTTGGAAACTACAAACTCACTAAATTAAACAATCGGTTCCACTAAACATACTTTCAGTATTCTCAAAAATATAAATTTATGAACTTTGAGCCAAAGGCTGTAGAAGTGGGGATTGGAGAAACAAACTAGCAGAGCATCTGCCCCCCACATCGCTTATCTGCAACCCATACCCCCCTCTATTCTGCTCCCCATTCCACCCCCCAGATGGTCCATATGGACAGGATAGCATCACGCAGTTGCTGCACATTTCTCTGGCTTTCTGCAACTGTAGCCCATCTGCTTCAAGATTCAACAGGTTGTGGGGTCAGAGATGCTCTCCCACATACCTCGGTCATAACAAGTTTGAGTTACTGTTGTCTTTCTATCAGCTTGAACCAGTCTGGCCATTCTCTTCGGACATCATAAAAAGTATTTTCACCCAGAGAACTGCCGCTCGCTGGGTATTTTCCCTTTTCCTGACCACTCTCTGTAAACTTCACAGATGGTTGTGTGAAAATCTCAGATTGGCAGTCTAATACTCAGCAACAACCATGCCAGTTTCAAAGTCCCTTAAATCACCTCTCTTCCCCATGACCATGTCTACATGACTAAACGCATTGAGTTTTCTGCCATGCGATTGGCTGATTAGATATTTGCATTAATGAGCAGTTAAACAGGTGTACCCAATTAAGTGGCCAGTGAGTGTATATACTTGAACTGTCCGTTGCTCGATTTAGTTGTAACCTGTTTTGAGTGCCTGTTGACACCAGATGCAGTGCGTTCCGGCTCACTTTTTTGTGGGGCAAGGTGGTCCATTGAAGTGAATGGCACCATAGCCACGCCCTCGAGCCGAAATGCGATCGGCCGCACGGGATCGCAAGGCACATTATGCCTATGGTCTGGTGCGATCAAAATAGTGCTTGCAGCATTATGACCGCATGGCAGACACAATGTGCCTTGCGATACGGTGCGGCCGATCGCATTCTGGCTGGAGGGCGTGGCCATGGTGCCATTCACTTCAATGGCCCGCCACACAAAAAAAGTGAGCCGGCTGCAATGCGAGGCAGTGCACTCTGGCTAGAATTGGCCCGGAACGCACCGCATCTGGTGTGAACGGGACCTTGAGGACGCAAAGAGGTCCCTGGAGGAGGAAGCCAAAGTTTCTCCAGTGCTCCCTGATGACTGCCTCGAACAAGATTGTTTTCTTCCAGATACCTCTGTTCAGAAGTTGAGGTATCCCCTACACTGGAATAACGCTGTATTTATCTAGTTTATCTGTAACATTTTAATTTCTATTATCGTGCTTTTCGTGAGTTGTTGAATTATTGCACCGAACCTAGCTATCTAAAATATTAAGCTGTTCTCACAGTAAGAAAGTTTAACCTTTTATTATCTGACAATGATGGTCTCTGCATCAGCCTGTAGCAGTCCAGCAGAAGTAAACTCATTTGCTGCTGTGGACCTGCTAGCCTGAGATAGGTGCCCACCTTCTGCAGTATGCTCCAAATCGCTGCTCTCGCTTCCTGCCTCCTCAGTTGTAGATACAGATTCCGTTTCTTCAGCCATTTCACTGGAAGTCTGGCTGGATGATGTGTCTGCTTGGGCAGCCTGCTCCTCGTCCTCCTCCTCCTGCTCCTCTTCTTCGTCGTCTATGTCAAACTTCAGCCTCTTCACCTCGTGATCCTCTGTGGGGTCTTCCTCCAAGTGTTTATTCTTCACAGTGCTTGAAGGGGAATCTTCTTCAGGGGACAGGGAGTCACTGTGGGCAGATAAAACAGATCGGTTACAACAATAAAACCTTAATTCGAAGATGTTCAGTTTGCCTGAAACTAAACATTCTTCAACTATATATATAAAGTTTTGGTTACTTCCTGTAGTGACATAAGAGTCAGAAGATAGAACCAAAGTGTGGAGACTGCAGCACTAGAACAGAAGGCTGCTAGTAATGCCAGTTACATGGCTACCATGCTGATGGCTTTAAACAGGTCAAGTTCACTTGCCCAAGTGAATTTGGGAAAATTTAATTATCCGCTGAAATTCCCCCCCCCCCCCCCCCCCCCCCCCCCCTCCTCACCA